GAATAAAAACAAAAACAACAACAACAACAATAACAACAAAAAAACCCAAACAGGATCGATTGTTTTGCTGCCACCCAGAAACACACCTCCTTAGAGTAAAAGGACAGAAAAGGCATTCCCAATGAACAAACAGACCCAAGAAGCAAGTCTAATTTTGAGAGGCAACACAATTTCATTCTCTCTATTGTACTGTGTCTTTGTGCCAGGGAGTTCAATAGATGCTTGTTCAGGATTAGAGGCCTGTTTAGAATCCCACCTCTAACACTTCCGTTCTTGGTGCTTTGAGGCAAATTATTCAGCACAATTCATCATTGAAAAAGATAGGTATTGTTAGCCTTAATAATACCTGTTTCACATAATTATTTGAATGAGACATTGTATTAATAGGATATACATTTAATAAACAGCCAGTATGGACCTGGAGAGACTGCTCAGCATGTAAGAGCACTGGCTGTTCTTCCAGTGGACCCAGGTTCAAGTTCCAGTGCCCACACAGTAGTTCACAACCATCTGTAACTCCAGTTCCGGGAGATCTGATACCCTCTTCTGTTCTCCACAGGCACCAGGCATGCACAGAAACAAACACGCAGGCAAAACACACACACACACACACACACACTAAACTTTAAAAAAATGGCAGCTATATTTATTTTTGTGTAGTTTTCTGGGTCCCTATGGAAGGACATGGGGTATTCTTTTACTAATAACAGTTCTCAATATAAAGTACAAAAGAATAAAATAAGATTTAGTGTCTTCTGAAAACCTGATCCTTCTCTCTTCATGACTTATAAAATGATCTGAGAGGCTGGGATGCAATGTGGTTAACAGTCCCAGTCTGGCATGCACTAGGTCCTGGAATTGATCCCCAGCACCCCCATATGTGGGGCATGCCTGTTATCTGCTTGGGAGGTGGGAACTAGAAGATCAGGAATTGAAGGCCATTCTTGGCTACAGGATACCCTTCCTTAAACAAACAAACAAACAAACAAACAAATGCTGGGCAGTGGTGGCACACGCCTTTAATTCCATCACTTGGGAGGAAGAGGCAGGCAGATCTCTGTGAGTCTCGGGCTAGCCTGGTCTACAAAGTGAGTTCCAGGAAAGCCAGGACTGTTACACAGAAAAACCCTGACTCAAAACACAAAAACCAAACCAAACCAAATACCCAAATAAATAAAAAGAGATATGTTTATAAAACAAAAATTAGTAGAAAAGGGGAATTAAAAAAAAAACATGCAATAGGCAGGCATGGTTGTACACACCTTTAATCCCAGCACTTAGGAGGAAGAGGCAGGTGGATCTCTTTAAGTTTGTGACCAATCTGGTCTACAGAGCAAGTTCCAGGACAGCCAAAGTAACAGCCTCAAAACAAACAAACAAAAAACCAAACAAAAAATGCAACAATATAGCTGTGGATGGTACATTTATAGATATTAATCTGTGATCCATGCTTCTAAATTCTTTCTTAAATGTCTTGGCAGGTAACAAAGAGAAAGGTCTGCAGATTACAGACTGGCACTAACTAATGGATTAAATTTTTGGTGGCATTGTTCTAGAATAACTAAAGGTAAAACTGAATCTCATAAAATTAAAACAATGAAATGAAACATCAGTCTTAGTCAGAAGTCACAAGATACCCACTTAGTGGCCTGTCTAGCATTAAACATGGCAGCTTAAAAATCACACATAGTGCCAGTGTTTCCTGGGCCAACTTCACAATTCTTTAGTTTAGCATTCCAAGCTTTTGGCCTAGTCTTAACCTTTTTTTTTTTGTTTTGTTTTGTTTTTTGGTAGTGCTATGGATATTCAGGGCTTTGCTACTGATAGCCTGACACTCTATTCCTAAGCTATATTCTCAACCTTCAGAACAATTTTTTCTTCTTTTTTTTTTTTTTTTTTTTTTTTTTTTTTTGAGACTGGGCCTATCTACATAGCTGTGGCTGTCCTGGAATTCACTATGTAGACTAGACTGGCCTTGAACTTAAAGAGATCCGCCTGCCTATCAAGTGCTAGGTTTATCCAACTGAAATCTGCTTCATCTAGCAATTTATTTTTAAAACTTTAATTTTGGCTTACAGTTAAAATAAGCATGGCTTAATGTCTGGAACCAAGTGGATAGGTAAGTCAACCTTTCAACAGTAAATTTTATGAAATCAGGTACTGAGATATGCTTTAAACATAATCCATACACTAGATTTTAAATAATAGTGAGAATGTAAAACATTACACTATATTTTATATCACATATACTATTGGCATATATTTAGATAAGACATTAATTTCACATTTTAATGTAACTACTACAAAAATTACATGTAGCTTATATTCTACCAGATGGTGGTAGCTTAGGCAATCAACTCAAAGCTTGGATACCACTATTGATTCTTCTTTTCCTTACTCCACACTTAGTGAACAATACAGAACATGTCTAATAACAACTGTTTTGGGGATCCATAGGCTTTCTCCATCTCTACTGCTATGCCCATGCTCCTCCATTCCTGAAGTCTTTCAATGTCTTCGCCTTACCAAAGCTGCAGACTTTTATTTCTTACCGTCCCTTCTTTGCTCCCCTCAAAGTCAGCCACCCTGACCTCCTTGTGGTTCCCTCTGACTTCACAAACTGCACTGGCATCTTCCCAGTCAGAGCCCAGCTCAGACAAAACCTCAGGTGAGACCACCTCTGACCAAGGGTCAACACTTTGCTTTCGCACTTGGAGACCTACTTTATCTAGTTACCCTTTTGTTGTCTTTGTGAAACTATTATGGGACATTATCTCTCTTCTTTGTTTTAGTCTTTCTTCGCTTCACCAGAAATAGGAGCAGAAGCCATGTTTGTTGTTGCCACTTCTATCTTTTCTAGCATACAACAGTATCTGGCAAAATGGGTGATTCAACAACTGCTGAATACAATGTAATTGCTGATTAGATGGGCTCACTGCTTTACACGGCCAACAGATGCTTCACCAAGCCCTAGCACTAGCACGTACTGCTCTTTCCGTGAACACATTACCATCCTTCAGGGATTCCTGACACATCTGACAGTCACCTTTGACCTCTCTTTCAGACATTCTCTCATCCAGTCAAGCCAATTCTCCAAATTCTCAATAAGCAGTTATAATTTTCTTCATTTCTATTTGTGACCACCTCAACCCAAGTCATTATGGCCTTCCACATTTCAGTATTTCTCATACCTTGGACCCCTTTTTCCCCTTTGGCCGAATACTTAAGTTACCAGTCAAAAACATCAATTCATTCACATGAATTTGTGGCTGTCACTAAACCTCTACAGGTACATCTCTGGGAATGCGGACAATGATGGCTTTTTTACTCATCTCCCCACTGCTTGCCTCTTTAACCTTTGCATTATCATTCCTTTGGCTGGAGGACCTTCACCAATTCTCTTACTAAAGCGATTGCTGTGGAGCCATGATTCCTCCTTTCCCAGGTTAGTGTGTGTGTGTGGCGGGTGGAGGTGTCTCCCTCTGAAATCACACCAAGTTCAGCAGCTTTTCTGCCATCACAATTACTGATTATGCATACTTGTTTATATATATGCAGCAATCATTAAATATTTACTCAAAAATTTAAGAGAAGGTGTAACAATTTAAAAACCATAATTGCGGACAAACTGGTATACATCTTTAATCCCAGCAACAAAGAGGCTGAGAGGCAGGTGGATCTGTTTGAACTGGCATGGTCTACATTTGAGTTCCAGGACAGCCAGAGCTTCACATAGTGAGACTGTCTCAAACAACAAACAAAAACCAAACCCACTAAGTCCCCCTGCCCCACACTATTTACTTTGCTATGTTTTAGTTAAGTCACACTGAGTTACAAACTTTCACCCTATTAGTGAAAAGGGCAAGTGGAGACACAATGGTTACATATTTGAGGACACAAACACACACGAATAAAATGGATCACATTTTAGCCTTTTTTGCGTTTAGGGTAAACTGCCGGAGGTGTCTCAGATATTCCCATTCCTAGATACCGGATGCCAAAAGTTCTGTGGGTAGTGAGTGCACTTCCCTGTTAAACATACCAAAGTGTAACATTGGAAATCTCGTGTAAGTTAAAATTTATAGGCTTTTTCTTCACAAATTGCCATTTCCCAATAAACTCTTGTTACATTAAAAATGAAACTCAACGCCCAGCTTAGTAAGGCAGGCCTCTGATCTGAGCAATCCAGGAAGCAGAGGCAGGAGGATCTCTTGTGAGTTCGAGGCCATCCTGGCCTACAAATTGAGTTCCAGGACAGCCAGGGCTACACTGAGAAACCCTGTCTCTGGGGGGAAAAAATCTTGACACCGCAGACACAGAGTGTCACTACTACAACATTAAAAAAAAAAAGGCCCAGAAACACCCTCATCACACACGCCGTTTACGCCAGGTGACGAGGACACATCTTTTGTTCCTGCACTGACACCTCATCCGGCGATTCCGGGTCCACCTTCCAGGACCACTTTAAGGTAAATCCTAGGTTCCTAGCTGCCCTTCCGCCTGCGGGAATCTGCTAGAACACAGCACGAGCAAGTGTAAGCTCCAAGCGTCCCGCGATCCCTGCCTTTCTCGTGTCATGCCGGGGAGAAGAAAGGACGCTTAGCACACACACCCCAGTTCTACACATCCCGCCCCACCGCAGGGCGCGAACACCCGGCCGCGCACATGGCCACCGCAGCGCTCACCCCGCTGCCGCGCAGGCGCCGGGAGAGCCGGGACTTGCGGTCGCCCAGTGGATCATTCCGCCGCAGCCTTTGTGTGGCCGAACGCTAGAAATGGCTTATTTCCTTTCTCTCTGTCTAAAGTCAAAACCAGACCCTTTCGTCCCTTTCTCCCGCCGGGCCGGGGCCGGGGGAGGGTGGCGGCACGCCTGCTCCCGGGGGCAGTGGGGCGGAAACCGGCGCGGGCTGGCGAGGCCGCCGCAGGCATGCTGGGAGCTCGCCCGCCGTGTCCCTCCGCGCCGACGGGGACTTTTCGGTGGGGATTTTGGGCGCCGACCAGACGCGGCATTTTCGGAAAATAGCGCCCTGTGCAGAGAAGCGCTCTGTGTGTGGCGGGGCCGCGTCAGCCCTGCCGGCTCCGAGGCGCCGCGGTCCCCGCACCTCCTCCCGCTGCTCCCCCGCCGCCGCTCCCGAAGCTTTTCCAGGTCAGTGCGGGTCTGTGTAGGGCCCTGTTACCACCGGATGTGGAAGTTGATCTCTTCGCTGGTAAAAAATAATTCCACTTCCCCCGGAACCCAGATCATCCCCGCGATTTCCTGTTTATTGCATTAAGGCGCCGGGTTTCCGGGGCTCCCGGCCCCGCTCGTTTGGCGGGGGTCGGCGGGGTCGGCCTGGGTGTCCGCGCCGCCGCCGCCGCGCTTTGTCCGCCCGGCGCTTGGCCTCTGGGAGGGGCGGCAGACATGGAGGCGGCCGCCGCCCCCTCCTCGGCCGGGCGCCGCGGCCTCCCGCGCTCCCCACGGGCCGGGGCTGCGGTGGGGTCGCCATGGCCGTGGGGGTCCGGGCCCACGGGGAGGGCGGCTGGAGAGGCGGCGCGGCGCCCTCCCGCTCCTTTGTCTTAGCGGCCTGGACGCGGAGCCGGGCCGGGCCGGGCCAGGCCGACGACAAGCAGGAAGGCCGGGCCGCGCCGCGCCGCCGCGCTGGGGCCCACGGGGCCGGGGGCGCTCGGGTCTCGGCGGGAGCCGCCGGCCCGGGACAGGGTAGACGAGCGAGCCCTGATGGACGGAGCCTGCCAGTCTCAGTGGTCGAGACATTTGCCCCAGAGACTTCGCCGCCGGAACCCACGCGGGCGCGGGTGCGGGTGCGGGAAGAAGCCGCGAGTTTCGTCGGGCCAGCTCTTGTCCGGGCACAGATCGGGGTTGAGTGTGCTCTTGTGAACCTCTCCCACCGTGGTGAAGCCGCCCGTCTCGTTTGAAGTGTGCATCTCCAAAATAAAAGCAAAGGGATGGCACGGGCCTAATTGCTGTGTTTCCCTTGAAGCTTTTGCTTTCAGCCGGTTTGGACTGTGTCTAGCAGACATGTCTGTTTTAAGCAGGGGCGAGACCACAGAACTTCCGAAAGGGAGCTTCATAACGTGGAAATAATTTTAAGTTTTTTTCTCCAGACACTGTCTGGAAAATGCTGTCTATTCAGGCAAGTTACTTTCTGAAGTGTAAATTTTTATCTGGACAAAAACGTTGGTGTGCTTTTCCTTGTGAAGAAATAGTTACAATCCCAGAAGTTAAAACACACCAAATTTACTATGCGGAAGATAGTTTATCTCAAAGATTAACCCAGGTTAGTTTAAATCTGACAAGATTTTGACTCGGGCCTTCAGACGCTATGACTTTGAATTTTAAAGAAACTGATAGATATTATCCCTGTATCCATTTTCCTTATTTTGTGAAGTCAAAAGTTTTATATGTTAATTCGTGATTTAGGCAAGAGTCACATTGTTTTGCATTTTTTCGAATCTTTTTAGTTTCTAAACAGAAAAGAGATTCTTGAAATCTATTTTTGCATGCTGTTTTGTGATAATCACACCAAACAACCACTGGAAAAAACTGCTTTTTTTCTTTTTAAAAAATATGACATCCTATCCAGTTTTCACCATGTAAGTAAAATCAGGATATTGTACAAGACACACTTTTAAAAAAAATGTATGTATGAGAATAATGATCCCTGTGTTTTGGGAGAGAGGGCTCTAACTTTAACAGATGGAAGGTCACATACCTAAGCATTACAAATACCATTTACCGATAGTCTTCAAGTCTCAGGAACGTTTGGAAATAGTCAAAGTGAAAAGACATTTTAAAGTTCCAATTTGTGCTTAATGATGTACACAGATAATAAATCGGATTTACCAGCACAGTAGATATGCTTGTAAAGACCTGTGTAAATGTCTTTCTCAAGAGGACCTTTTAAGGCACCAGAGAACTTCAGACTTTAGTTGAAAGTGAGACCTTTGCTGAAGCAAAGCATAAGTAATATGCACATGTAAACCCTTAGCTTCTCTTCTGAGTCAGTCTGGGTTTCCTAGGTGTGGGTAATAATGTGTAAAATTTCAAGTTTGGGCCTCTTGGTGTTGGAAGGAAGCGGAGTTTGCAGTGGTTTCTTGTGACCTCTAGTCTGAATTTGTTGGTTGGCTTTTCTCTGCTGTTCCATCAACAGGAAGCATCTGGCCATTCTTCATGTAATTGTCAGAAAGTGCCAGGTACATTTTTAATGTGTACTATTCATATTAAAAAAAAAAAGAAAAGATTGGCTGGGTGTTGGTGGTGCATGCATTTAATCCTAGCACTCAGAAGGCAGAGGCAGGTGGGTCTCTGTGAGTTTGAGGCCAGCCTAGCCCTACAAAGCTAGTTCCAGGACTGTGAGGACTCTTAAACAGAGAAATCCTGTCTCAAGGGGTGGGGTGAGGGGGTGGGTATCCTAGATAATTTTACTTGATTTTGATTCGCCCCCCCCCCCCCCGTCATTTTAAAAAACTTGATCCTTCTCTCTTCATGACTTATAAAATGATCTGAGAGGCTGGGTTAACTGTCCCAGTCTGGCATGCACTAGGTTTTGGGATTGATCTCCAGCACCTCCATATGTGGTGGCCATGCCTGTTATCTGCTTGGGAGGTGGGAACTAGAAGATCAGGAATTGAAGTGTCTCTTCACAGGTAATAGGTAAGGCAAACATTACAAACTGAAAATAATGTCACATGAAATTTTAAGCAGAAATGAAATTCATTTTTGAGGGAGTTAGAGCTTCTTTCAAGTTGCTTAGGGTCAGTAAGTGCACTAATGAAGTACAATATTAGTTCACTTGGAGATACTAAAGACTCAGCATGTTCTTGGACACCTAGGAACTTGTTTATAGATCAACAAATAGGATAATTTGACATCTGTATACAATGTGTAGCATTTCTGTCTCCTAAACTTTTGTGTGTGTGTATGGGTGAGACCCTTTCAATTCCTCTGCCTTGAAGTTAGGTAGCTTTTCCATGACCCCATGGCTTTATAGCTAATAATTATTTCTGTTGCACTAATGTCTCAACTTTGGGTCAATGATAATTAGGATTTTACTTTCTTGAAGATGTTTGTTCCTTTATCCTGGTAAAAGATACATTTAGTGTCAGGAGAAATTAGAATTAGGGCCTATTTGTTTCTTCAGAACATTAGCACTGTAGTGTTGTCTAGAAAGGTTAGTGCATCTTTATTTGGGCTGCTTATGTTTATGACATTGGAGTAAAGACTTAGGCTGGAAGTAATTTCTCCAAAGATAATCTTGATTTACCTTGATGTAGTAAAAATGTGAGTACCAGTTGAAACATTGTTGATAACAAGAGCTGTTCCTGACTTCCAATGTGCCTTAATTGTCTTCTTTGTACAGTAGGGATCATTCTGGTACCTGTCATGGTGGTCGGGATCATTAAATGAATTAGTACATATATAAAGTGCAGTATCTTTTTGTAGAAGACTCTTGAGTGTCTACTAGAGTTAAGTGTTTCAATCTCATTACACTAGAGAGGTAGGCTACTGCTAATCTGGTAGTATAGTAATGATTCTTTAAAAAAAAAAAAAAAAAAGTAACGGGGGGAGAGGAGAGGTTGTACCATGATACTGCTTTCTATCATAGCTATCTTCCATTTGGTAGATGTAGAGAAGTCGGTTTTTTAAGGCCATAAAATTTCAATATTGGGCACTGGACTTAACGCTAGTCTCTTTCATGATGGAAAAACTACTTGCTGGGTTTGGTGACATACTCTTAATCCAAAGCACTGAGGAGACAGATCTCTTGAGTTCAAGAACAGCCTGGTCTACAAAGTGAGTTCTAGGACAGCCAGGGCTACACAGAGGAATGTTATCTCAGTGCCTCCCTACCCAAAACAATCTATTGGGTGTTAGCTGCCTTGCTGTCTCCGTAGTGTCAGTAGCATTTATACCCAAATAGGAAACATTGGTGTATAAATGATTTAAAAGTTTTCCTTTATATTCAAAATGGTTTATGTGAAATCTTTGCCCTTTCTTTACCCATGTAGCTTTTTTTTTTTTTTTTTTTAAATTATTGGCTAGCTCTGTCTTAATTATTAACCCATTTTTGTTGATCTATGTATTTTTTTTTTTACTGGGGAGCCGGCGGCATACTGTTTTTTCCATACTCTCCGTCTTCACTCCTCCTTTCTACTTCCTATTTTTTCCTTGTCTCCTAGTCCCTCCTATCTTCCTTTCCTATTGGCCAACAGTGCTTTATTATTAACCAGTATGAGAAACATATACAGAATGACTTCTCCCATCAGTAGCTGATTATTCTCTCTTCTTTTATCCTGTCCATTCATAGGGACCCCCACTTTCTTTCCCGTAATAGTGTGGTCCACATGTGTCCTGGAATTCATGGTGAACTCTTCAAGACCATGGTTTGGGGAGATTAGATGATGAATGTAAAGCCCTTATGCATGAGATAAGTGCCCTTAGAAAGAAACTATAGATAGCTGGTTTGCCCTTTCTAAGAGTGGTGTGTGCTTTAAATCCTTTTGCACCCAGGAGGCAGAGGCAGGTGGATCTGTTAGTCTGAGGCCAGCTGGGGCTACACAGAGACACCCTGTCTAGAAAAACAAAAAAAAAGAGTGCTGTTTATACTTGACCTAGACCTCTGTGATCTTTGCCCTCTAGGACTTTGAGAGATACATTTCTCTTATTTGCAGGCCACCCAGTTGAGAGCAGTTTGTTTGTGTAGCTCAGTCTGAGACAATTTTGTCCCGTGCATTTTTTTTTTTTTTTTTTCTTTTTGGAGACAGGGTTTCCTGTGTAGTCATGTTGTCCTGGAACTCTGTTTACCAGGCTAGCCTCAAACTCGAGATCCACCTGCCTCTGCCTCCCAAATGCTGAGATTAAAGGTGTGCACCACCACCACCCAGCTTTGTCCAATGCATTTTGTCATTAGTCACTTTAATACTTACTGTGCTCCCTTTATCAGACCTTCTCACTACTGATTGCTTCAGTTCGACCATACAAGCACTTGTGAAGCCTAATAGTTAGGATTTCTTGGCCACTTTAAATTGATGGTGGACAGTTTCAATAGTCTCATGCTATTTGGGAATACTTTTGTTAATCTTGTGTTAGTTTTTATTATTATTATTATTTCTTTATTTCTCTAACTCGATACAGTTTACTTCTTACTG